TCAATCATTTTAAGAAAATAAATTTTTAATATTAGTGAACTTTCATAAGTGTTAACCAAAATAATAAATAAGAGATGCATAATTTTCTTTTTTTTTATTTTATCCCTAATTTATTTGATTTTCTTTCAATTTTTTAAATCATGACATATCTTACTTCATTAAATCTTGAAATCAAATTATAAATCTCCATTTTTCCATCACAAATTCCTTTATCACATATCACCATAATTAATCCATTTTTTTTTTGTTGCATAATGGTCTCAAACCATAACTCATAACCTTGTATAAATATACAATTAGTTTAGTTATTTTTTATGCAATTATGTTTAACTATTTGTATATTTACACTTTTAGGTTTGAAAATTGAGATCATAAATAATATTTAAATATGTATTAGGCCATTTTTTTTTTCAGTTCGGCTAAAATATCAAAAAATTCAAGATTAACCTTATTAATTCATAAAATAAAATTATTAACTTTGCTTTTAAAATTAAGATTTAAATCTGATTTTTATCCCTTAATTTTTATTTTTATTTTTTGTCTATGTTAAAAAATAGAAATTATTTATGTAAAATCTAAAGATTTCATTTTTTTTCTCTCCCAACAACAAAGTTATTACCAAAATGTTAATTTGATTATTTTATCGCATGACACGTCGACAAAATATAATGTCATTGATGTGCCAATTTAACATAATATTAAATCATTAGTGTTGCATCAACACTCTGCCATCACAAGTTACATCAATAATAGGGTCACATCAGTAGTATAATTGAGAGACAAAAATGAAAGAAAAAAACAATTTACAGGGATAAAAAATGAACTTAAAATGAAAAATAGAAAAATATTACATGAACTAAAGAAAAATATGTCGTGCAAGTTAAATATAATATATAAGTTTAATTTGAATTAATATAAAATAAATATATTTTAATAATTACTTTTTGTATCTTTTAATTAACCTCTTTTTTTGTTAAATACTATATAATCGAATATATATTATACAAATACTTAATACTCTCTCATTCACCACACACTATTCCTTCCTTTTTAACATGCACATACATCATATGAGAAAAAAAGTACACTTTATGTTTTAACCGTAATCACCACTAGTCCATCTCAATTACAATCTAAGAGTTGCATTAATCGTAACATCAAGGATAATGGTTTAGTTTCATATCGGCAAGACACGTGATAACATTAAAATAAATTTACTATAAAATCATAAATAAATTCATCTACAATAATAATATAAAAAAGTGCACAATACAACTATAAATAAATTTTTATAAACACTCAACTGCAAATAAAAGAATATAAATTTATAGGTCAAAGTTAATGAAAAAAATAGGTAACTTAATATTTTAACTCAAAAGGTTAATCTAACTCAACTTGTCATTTAACACGTTGGGGGTAGTGAAATGTGTAGGTCTAGTTGTGATTAAATGGTTAAAAAGTACAACCAAACTCCTTTGGCAAGTTATATGAGTTAACTTATTGAGTGAGATTCATTATGACACCTCTTTTGGACTCTAATTAAGATAGACTAGGGGTGACTATTATTAAGACATATAGTGTGTGATTTTTTTTTTCTTATGAAGTATGTACATGTTAAAAAAGGAAAGAATTAGATGTGGTGAGTGAGAGAGTTTAGAGAATTTAGACAATATGTAAATGATTTTTTGTGTTGAATAAGAAAAAAAATGAAAATATAAAAAAATATTATTTTATTTAATTTTTAATTTATATCAATTTAAATTAAATATATACATTATATTTGACTTATATGACACTTTTTTTAGTCTATGTAATTCTTTTTATTCTTTTTATTTTTCATCCATGTAAATTCTGTAACGACCCGGCTGGTCACTACACTCACAACCACAGCATACCGGAAACACTAGACAGAATAGAACGAGTATATAAATATAGGATCTAGAATATAAATATATACAATGTTCCAATCCGACTAGAGTTAGAGTGTACAAACAAAATACAACCAAAGTAGTCAGATAGTGGCCCAACAAACAAACATCCGCCAAACAAGACTCCTCCCTTTGCCAGCTGCAGACTTGCCCCTATCACCAGTCTAACCCTGCTCTGCTCCCATACATAGTATGATCATCGCAGTCCAAATCACATGGAAACAACAAAGGGTAAGCTAGTGAAAGGAAATAACATACATATATATAAATATATGAATAGTAAATAGCTACCCCTATCAGCACATCAAATCAACACATCAATCAGCTTAACAAAATCAGTTTAAAATACCACAACATTCAGCCATAACAGCACATATCTCACATCATCAGCATACAACTCATCGATTTTACAGCATAATCAGCAATAAACACACAATGCGTCATCACGCATATCAACTCGGAGATCTCCTACAACACCTCAGCCTTTCAGCCTACATCACCTCAGCCTTTCGGCCTACAACACCTCAGCCTTTCGGCCTATATCATCCAATATCAACACACAGTACAACACAACTGTACAGCTTAATATATCAACTTACAACAATGTACAACTAATACAACTCAACATATCAACTTACAATAGTATACAACTGATATAGCTCAACATAATCAACTTACAACAGTATACAACTGATACAACTCAACATATCAACTTACAACAATATACAACTGATACAGCTCAACATAATAATGCAGCATAAACATCTCACAGCACATCAAGATCATCACTCATCTCAACAACATTCATCATTAATAGCTTAAATCAGCATAAACAACATTATCAACAACATGATCAACAACTTTACAATATACAACATACAGTATATTCAACATATAATATGACTTATCCATCTTGTTTACAACTCATCTATCTTGTCAAACTACTCACCCAAACAACACTAATCAACCCAAGTACCTAAAACAACTTTCAACTTAACCAAATCACTAAAAGTGAAATGGCAACCTTCACAGAAAACAACGCATCAGGAGTTATACTACTCCTACCATGCTCATCCTTATCTCATATGAAAGATAAGAAGATTTCCTACAATTCTCATGAAGACACCAAGACCTAATTCCTTCATCTACCTTGTTAAAAATGATAAAAACCGCAACAGCTATAAACAAAGCTAGCAGCTCGACCCCTCTTCACTAAAACAGTCATATCCAGAGTTCTAAAACTCCTTTTTGGGTGATTCCAGCGCCATTGGAAAGATAACATCCAAGGCTACAACTTTCATGAAAACTATAAAATCAAATTCTGAAAATAAAATACACGCCCGGCGCATTAAAATCACGCCCGGCGCAATTCTCAACCAGAGACATACCAAGGTCTATTACGCCCGGCGCCATTCTCCTGAGCCCGACGCGGTATCAGAAATAAAAACACGAGATTCACATCTAATAGTGCGCCCGACGTGGTTCTCCCCACGCCCGGCGTGATTCACATAGGGATTCCCCATTTCAAATCAAGCCCGGCGCTAAGAACTACGCCTGGCGCAAATTCAAACAACAACTCTCACCAGTTCGAAAATTTCACCCAAAACCTGCAGAAATCAACATCCCAGGCACATGCAATCGGTTCAAAACATCACGTTTTCATCAAACAACCTGAAAATACCAGTTTTTTCAACATGCAACATCAAACAAGGAAAATTCCCAAATTTTCATCAAAACCCCAGAACCCCGAAAAATGGATTTTCATTAAAACAGCTCATAATCTTCGAAAATCAAACCATCCGTGAGTTTCTAACTCACTCAACAAACAACCAACACGAATACTAGCTTCCCTTACCTCGGTGCGAGAAATCCGAGCTTCCGGGAAGGAAACAAGCTTGAACGGAAGAAGACGGATGAAGAGCGGAGAAGAAAGGCAAGCTTGAGGCTCGACTCACTCAACACTAGCACCTACAGCCACCAAGATCAGCGGAAAATCAACAGGGTTCCAGAGTAAAAGGGGAAGAAAAGAGAGTAGAGAGTGAGTGAGAGTGAACGAGAGAAGGAAGGGGCCTCACAAATTCTTTTTTTTTTATTATTTTTGATTCCAATACTTTATTTTTTCATATATTTGTCTCTTTATAGTATTATTGATTTGATAAATAATCTTGACATAACATATAATAACATGATATTATGTTAATTCGATATATAATGATATATTTTTTATTGACTTGACATGTAATGATATCATAAATTAACATTTTTTAATAGACTTTCAAAAAACATGAAAAATGAAATGTTTAGATTTTACTATAATGATTTCAAAAAAATATTACAAGAAAAAAATGAAAAATATTAAATTACATAAAAAAATTATATTTTAAGTCTAAAATCAATTGTAAAGAAACCATAAAAGTGTGACATATATCTAAATTGAGTTCGGATGACCATGGGTTGCTGAATTTATATTTCTCTTTATTAGGTAAGATTTATTTGTTAAGCCAACTAAAGTACTTAACACTAATAAAATTCCTTAAACAAACTTACTTTAAATTTTAATAAAAATTAAACTGACGAAACTGAATTCATTAATTGTCAAAGCGACTATTTATTTGTTAAAAATTCATTTGATCCTCAAAGGTTTATAAATTTTACTTTTAAAATTTTTTAAAATATGTATAAAAAATGAAAATGAAATAATTTGAAATTATGTGGTCTAAACTTGCGTTTCTCATAACACGGTTGAATACTTCTTACAACTATAAAATCATACTTTAGGAAACATTTATTCAAGAAAATTCTTTTAAACTTGAAATAAAATTTCTTTAATTAACTTATGTTAATCCTATATCTGACAAACAAAATTCTGGACATTGTGTCATTAAACGAATAATGATATTTGATTCCGAAAATTCTCAAAATGTCATTCATTGATTCCATATCAATAATTATAAGATAAAAAACCTAAAAGAATTTGATAAAATTATATTTTTAATCGGGAGCAGTTGAACAAAAGCAATTTAAAAACATTTTCTCCCACCATTCAACCTTTTACCTTTTCCTTGTGCCACCTCCTACATTTTTTCAAACTACAAATAAATAAACACCAAACAACCCCTTCTAATAGCATCAACTACACCTCTTGAATCTTCATCACCATGAAGGGGTCAACCATTTCCCCCTCTCTGATCTCCCTCTGTCTCTCCGTGTGGCTCTTGTGTGCCACTTTTGGCTGCGCCAATTTGTTGAACCAAATCGAGCACTGCGAGTTGGATTGCGCGAGTGCCACGGTGGATGGACTCAACGTGGTTGGTAACTGCGAACCCAAGTGTTCTCAGGGTTTCACTATTCCCAGCCAAATAGAGAAACAAGGACAAGACGCCATCAAAAGCTATTTGGATAACCTTTTCACCAACGCTCTGTTAGACACTGCTTCAGCTGAAACAAGGCATGACCCGGAACCACACCCAGATAGCCATGCCATCGAAACCCAAAGCAAAACACAGATTAACCACGAGGGTAAACATGTGATTCTTGAATCTTTTCGTTAACTTGCAAATTCTATACATATTGTGTCTTAATTTTGTCTAACTTTCTAAATTGAGTTAGATGGCTATATATGTTTCATGTTCAACAATAAAAAATTATCATTTATATAATTTTTTAGTTATTTATTATACAAAATTATTATATTTATCATATATTATGATTTATGATTAGATAACACAAAGTTGTGAAACAGGTTAAACTTGTATTGTTGTTTGGGTCAATACAAATATATGAATTTTGTAATTTGACTTGATAGATCGAGTCAAATTGGTTCATTTGTTTATTTCTTATTTCAATTTAGATTTACGAAAATAATAATAATAATTCAAATAGGTTTGATAAATTTTGATTGAGTTAAATTGATTTAATTTTTTTTCGAGATACGTTTTTAAGAGTCAACTTGAACCATCAAATTGAGTCACATTTTAATTTTTACACTGTGGATGTGTAACTTATTTTCGCTTTTAAATTTAGTTAGAATAAATTAATAATTGAAATTAAATTATTATATTTTGTAAAAATTATATTTAACATAATTTCATGTAGCTAAAGTGTAACAATTATATATATGACAACTAAACTCTGACATTTTTATAATTAAAAGTTTAATAATGTGATATGTAATAGATATATATGAGAAAAATGATATATATAAAATAGTATGATAAAGATGCATATTTGTATATAAATAAGAGTTAATCACTTATATATTTTCAATGTAAAAAAATTTTATACTAACAACTAATTATATTTTTTAATAGTACCATGTCATTTGTTTATTTAATAAAATAAAATAAAATAAAATTATTTAAAAGGTATGATTGATTCTCTGTGTAAAAAACTTTATATTGGCAGTGTGTATGGATGATTAATTGAATAATATAACTTAAGTTTTAAATGATTAATTGTTTTATTTATGTTGTGTGTGTAGGTGAGAGGAACATACATGCAGATAAAACTACTTATGAAGTGCCCAAAAACATTGGAGAAGATTATAAGCCGACAATTCCAAGCCATATAGAGAAACAAGGACAAGAGGCGATGAAAGAATATTTGGATAACATATTCAGCAACGCACTCTTTGGCAGTGATTCAATTGAAACAGGACAAAATCGGGAAGCACATCCAGATACCTATTCCATCCAACTTGACACCAAAACACAAATTAAGCACGATGGTAAATATGTTATTTTTTTTTTCCTTTAAATTTGCAAATTTCATATACACGCTGTCTTATTTATTTTTAAGGAGTAAATATGATTTTAGTTTTTTTAAATATGACTAATTTTTATTTTAATTATTAATTTTTAGTCTTTATAATTTTTTTTTTCATTAAAATAATTTCTATTATCACTTAGTAATTATATGACATGTATTTAGATGTTACATTAATGATTATTTTCAAAACGTGTTTGAATACATAGTATATACTATATATGCTATTTGATAGATACATTTTTAAAACCTTAAAAGTGTATTAAGTAGAACTAAATAAAAAATGGAGTATTAAAATTAAAATTAGTTATATTTATCATGGACAAAAAATATATAGAAGATTTTTTTAAGAGATTTTATTTGCAAATAATTTTGTATAACCTTATTATAGTTACTAGTTAAAAAACAAGGCACAGTATGTTTAGTTGATTTTTTTTTTTAATTTAAGATCAAACATGGTTAAGAGATGTAAATATATGCTACAACTGAGAGGTGTTTTTAAAATCAGTTGAATGATAAAATTATAAATAAAGAAGTGTACACTAAATATGATTATTTTTTTATCATTAGTATAAACTAAAGAGTATGAATTGGGTCACAAAGTAGCCCAATATAACCATCTATCAGCTAAACTGATAGGAACTACCATAAGAACTAGGGTTATCAGAACAAAACTAAGAAAGATTTAATTCAAAATTTCATCATAATTCCCAACCAGAGATGTCCAGGTATTAAATACCCCTTACAATGGTCTAAAGAGACCTTGGAGGAAAAGATAAACATTATGGGCTCAAAAACTTAAAGAAACAAAACTATTCCAGTTTGTAATCTTTGGCCCAATACGATGGAAACTTGGGCCTACGTGAACTTGCCCTATCAATGTCGCTCGATTGAGTCAGCACCTTGTCCTCAAGGGTGCTACATGGCGCTGCAGAAAAGGGTTAGCTTTGGGAGGCACGGATTGAAGGAAGCATGGACGGTGGAGATGCGTTTGTGTTTTCTGTAGAATCATCCAGTGGTTCTAAAGTGTTAGGCGAATGAGTGGAGGAGTCAACAACTGTTGCTGTTTCCAAGTATGTCGTGGCACGCAAAGGAACCTGCCGCGAGTCAATAAGAGAAGCACCATAAGGGAGCCTTGGGTTCACATGAGTACTCCCCCGGCCAGAGTTAAGTTGATCAGGCTCTTCAACCGTTTCGGATTCCATGTTGCCGCCCACCGAGAGTGACAAGAGCGGGTCAACTTCCACGAGGAGGGATGGTGGGGCGTGCAAAACAACGTCAACGGGTCGTCTCCAACGAAGGGCTGCAATTGCGACACATGAAACACGGGGTGGATCCGCGAGCCGGCCGGTAACTCCAACTCATAAGCAACCATGCCAAGGCGTCGACGAGTCTGGAAAGGTCCATAAAATCATTTTGCAAGCTTCTGACTCGTGCGACGATGGACAGAGGTTTGGCGGTATGGTTGAAGGCGCACCCAAACCCAATCACCCACAATAAAACAGACGTCTTAGCGGTGTTTATCGACTTCAAGCTTCATTCTCTGGCGTGTGCGATGGAGGTGATGTTTCACTATTGATACAATCATTTTATGTTCTTGTAGGATGGCGGATACCGTGGGAAGCAGCGGAGCATTGCAGGAAAGGAGATCAAGGGTGGTTGGCGGTGGGTGACGGTATAGCACGTGAAAAGGAGATGTGTCCAAATTGGAGTGTTTGCTCGTGTTGTACCAAAACTCAGCAATGTGAAGGATGCGAAACCACGAACGAGGGGTATCACTCACTAAACAGCGTAAAAAAACACTCCAGTGTGCGATTGAGAACCTCTGTCTGGTCGTCCGTTTGCGGGTGGTAAGATGAACTATACTTAAGCTTAGTCCCTTATGCTTTAAAAATCTCACGCCAAAACTGACTCAAAAAAATGGGATCTCTGTCAGAAATGATAGCCTTGGGGGCCCCATAAAGCCAAAAAATCTCCTGCATGAATCTTTGAGCGAGATGTTGAGCAGTGAAGTGAGTGGGGAGAGCCATAAAATGACTGTATTTACTCAAACGGTCACACACCACCCAAATTACTGTCTATCCATGTGAACTAGGTAAGGAGGTAATGAAATCCATGGTCACCTCCTCCCAAACCTTACTTGGAGAATTTAAAGGTTGCAAAAGACCTCTTGGTTTCTGAGTTTCATTTTTATTTTGCTGACAGATTGGACACCCTTTGATGAAACGACAAAGATCAGCGGCCATAGAGGGCCAGTGATAGGAAGTAGCCAAGCGACTAAGACTGCTCTTAACCCCTGAATGGCCTGCAATGGGAATGGCATGGTATTCTGCCATCAATTTCTGCCCCAAATCAAATACATCAAGAACGAAGAGGCAGTTCTGAAAATAGAGTAAGCCTTCACGAACAGTATATTTATCTCCTAATTGCGTATCCATCAAGAGTTTGTGAACTAAGGCTTTCCCGTCTGGATCTGATTGAAAATAAATCCTCCATTGTTGCAGAAATGCTGGTATTAGGGAGGACAAGGCTAATAGCACTGAATCTGGGGGGTCTGTGGGTCGGGATAAAGCATCCGCAACCACATTATGGCATCCAGCTAGGTAGATTATTTGAAAATCAAACCCCAATAATTTCGTCAGCCATTTCTGTTGAGTAGGGGTCTGGATCAATTGGGACATCAAGTGTTGAAGACTTTGTTGATTCGTAAGTATCAAATAATTTTGCCCAATTAAATATTGTCTCCATTTTTTAACTGCTTCTATAATGGCAAACATCTCTCACACATATACTGATTCACTTTGCATTTTGGTGCATAATTTCTTGCTGAAAAATGCCAGTGGATGATGATCTTGTGAGAGCACAGCCCCCACTGCCACGCTTGATGCATCTGTCTCAAGAACAAATGGTTTTGAAAAATCAGGCAACTGAAGAATAGAGGCAGTAGTGATGTGTTGTTTTAACTCTGTAAAGGCTTGTTGAGCCGGAGGAGTCCATGTAATTTGGAATCTTTTAATAACTCGGTGAGAGGAGCAGTGATTCTAGCATAGTGGCGTACAAATTGCCGGTAAAAATCGGTGATACCAAGAAAGCCACGTAGGCCAGTAAACGAGAGTGGAACGGGCCAATCGATTATGGCCTTCACTTTTTCTAGATCAGGTTGCACTCCAGATTCTGTAATTGTATGCCCGAGATAGGTCACACACTCCACTCCAAAGACGCACTTAGAACGCTTTGCAAAAAACTGGTTAACGAGTAACAAATCTAAAATTGAACGTAAATGCAACAAGTGGGTAGTAAATGACGTACTATAGACCAGAATGTCATAAAAAAAAACCAGAACAAATTTTCTTAAAAATGATCTAAGTAGGTCATTCATTGCATATTGAAATGATGATGGAGCATTAGAAAGACCAAAAGGCATGGCCGTAAATTCATAATGTCCATCAAAGGTTCGAAAAGCTATTTTTTCTATATCAGAAGGGTGGAGAAGAATTTGATGATACCCTGAAGGTAGATCGATCTTAGAGAATATCTTAGCTGACCCTAGTTCATCCAGTAGCTCATCAATGGTGGGGATGGGAAATTTGTCTTTGATAGTAATGCCGTTCAATGCTCTATAGTCAACACAAAATCTCCATGACCCATCTTTTTTTTTTTTACTAATAAAACTGGGGAAGAAAAAGGGTTGGTACTGGGTCTAATGATGCCCTTGGTTAACATCTCTTTGATCATTTGTGTCATGTCTTCTTTTTGGTGGTGAGGATATCTGTAGGGTTTAACATTGATAGGACTTGAGTGGGGTTGTAATCTAATATGGTGGTCATGGGGACGAGAGGGTGGAAGGCCAGTAGGTGTCTGAAAAACCCGAGCATATTCATGCAATAATTGATTCAACTTAGGTTGAATAGGATGGCTGGTTTGGGTTATTGTGGTAGGTTTTGTGGTTGGGGCAATGTGAGTAAAGGATAAAAGGTGACAAGTAGCAATCGAATCTTGTTGAAGTAGTTGGCAAAATTGGGGAAAGGTAGTCTGAGTAGGGAATTGGGAGTCCCCTTCAATTGTTACATGTCGGCCCTGGTGATAGAAGGTAAAACTGGGGACCAAAAAATCAGCTTGCACAGGCCCGAGTGTTTGTAACCAAGCTAACCCGAGAACTACATCAGCCCCCTCTATAGGTAAAACAAATAGTGGAACCTCAAATGAATGTGTCTAAAACTGAATAGGGACCCCTTGGCAAACTGTAGTACAAGAAATATACTCACCATTGCCCACCATGACTTTGAAAGGCATTGTAGGAACCGGGGTGAGATTGAGGAATTGGACCATACGGGGCTGTATAATATTGTGTGAGCTGCCAGTGTCCACCAAAATGCTAACGGGTTGTCCAAAAATTGAACCTTGAAATTTTAATGTCTGAGTTGAGGGTTGACTGGTTAAGGAAAAAGTGGATAAATGAAAATGGGAGCCCATCTCAAACTCTGAGGTCACAACTAAATCGATAATGTCCACAGTAGGCTCAGCTAATTCAGTTTCATCATTGTATAATAGCAATAAAAACTTGGGGGTGGCATATTTGTGTCCAGGTACAAATTTCTAATCACAACTATTCAGTTCTTGCATTTGTTTTGTTGTCAACTTTTTAATGGGCAACATTGGTTAAGAGATGAGGGAAGGTTGGGTGGAGATTTTGGAGGTGGTTGGCCGAGAAGAGTTAGAGAAAAGGGATGTAGTTTGGGTAGTGGTCATGGGAGGGTGTGGGAACTTAGGTTTAACGTCTAGTAATTTCTCTTCCACCAACTTAGCCATGCCAATAGCTTGGGTGATGGTCTGAGGTTTTAAAATCTTGAGCTCTCGTTCAATAGGTGGGCTTAAACCAGACAAAAAAACAATTCAACAAATTATCATGGGACAACCCTACCGTTTTGTTGCACAATTTTTCAAAGTTAGCTTGGTAATCTGCCACTGAGCCAGCTTGTTTGAGTTTAAACAAGGAACCTCGATGGTTTTCATATGTGGAGGGGCCGAATCGCAATTCCAAAGCACGGCTAAAAAAAGTCCAGTCGCCTAGTTGATTCAAAGAGTACATCCATTTGAACCAACTTAGGGTGTCAGCTTTCATATAAAATGCCACCATGGGCACCCGTTGCTCTCAGGGAACTTGATAAAATAGGAAGAATTGCTCAGCCTGAAAAATCCAATCTAGAGGCTTAGAGCCGTCAAACACAACAAGCTGTAATTTGGGTGGTCTAACAGGGGTAGGATATTGTAAGGGGTTAGGCACATGATTGGTGTAAGGAATGGAATTATGGAAAATGTGAGGGTTAGGAGGTGGTAGATTGTATGAGGTATGAAGAGGGGAATTTACGGAACTCGTTGTAAGGATAGGTGGGGCCGTACAAAAAGGGGGAAAATTGGGGATGGGTTGAGTGTATTGGGGAAGTGTGTTGGTAAACATAGCTGGTGCCGTGAGTGGAATAGATCCGGGAATATTTAGGGCAGGTAAAGTAGAAGAAGGGGGAGAAGAAGAGGTACCTGGTGATTTGATATTGTGAATTTATTGAGTGAAGGTATCCATCATATTGGACATCAAATTAGTCAGGGCATCGTGTCGATCATCATGTATCTGACTCTGTTGGATCAATTGCAATTGTAATTCTGCAATCTGGGAAGTGAGGGTGGCGATGGCCTCATTCGAGGGTCGGTTGGAGTTTGAATCCCGATTAGGTTTAGGAGGCATGGCCAATGAAATCACCAAATTGATAGGAACTACCGTAAGAACTAGGGTTACCAGAACAAAACTAAGAAAGATTTAATTAAGAATTTCATCATAATTCCCAACCAGAGATGTCTAGGTATTAAATACCCCTTACAATGGTCTAAAGAGACCTTGGAGGAAAAGATAAACATTATGGGCTCAAAAACTTAAAGAAACAAAACTATTCCAGTTTGTAATCTTTGGCCCAATACGGAGGAAACATGGGCCTACGTGAACTTGCCCTATCACAAACCAAAAATGTGATGGAGTTTGGTGGCCAGTTTGCTGATAATGAACTGAAAATCATGGCTGGGACTCACTTAAGAGTAAATAGACGAGTTGGCGAGCTGACTAACAAAAAAAAATTAATATTTTTATTTAAAACTGTGATCCAAGTTGACAAATTTGGTTAAATGATTCAAAGTATTATACTTGGCCTAAAAGAGTTTTTATTATTTCATTATTTAGAAGTTTTTGAACTATAATCTATTACATTTTTTTCTCCTAATGCTTATTAGACTAACTGTTTTGGTATGTTACAGATATTTTCATGATAATGGTATTATACATTAATATGCAGTACACAATGTGTGTGTAAGTTTGTTGATTTTAAGATTAACTTGTATACAATCATGGTAGACATGAAATAAATATTGTTGAAGTTAATAAACTTATCACTCATAATAATTTCTTATTAGAGGTTAATGTAAAAATTTTGTTAGTACATACACTATTTACGTTTTTAATATATAACAATTATCTTAATGGTCGTATTAAAAATGATTTTTCTAATTAGTTGATGAAAATTCATTCTTATTAAACTTGTAAAGAATAAAAGAAAAGCATGAAAATAAAATATGTATATAAGGAGAATTACTAAAATGAAAAATAATATTATAGGAAATATGTATGTGAATAATGTAACTCTACCTCTTTTAATGGATAACTGTTTTGTTTATGTTGCTTGTAGGTGAAAGGAGTATGGATGCACATAAATCATCTTATAAAGTTCCCAAAAAGTCTGAGGAAAAACAATTGTTAGATGGTGATTTTGGGGTCAACGTTGATCTTGAGATTGTAGACGATGGAGAGTATGTTCTGAAGATTAAGAAGATTAATCTAAGTTCAACCGATGAGGATGAGGTAGAAAGGGCTAAGCATATGGCTCAAAATGGAGCCATGTTGTTACTTTATGGAGAGATGCTTCAAGACATGGGAGAGAAATTGATGGCTCAGTCCCAAACATCCATTTACTCCATATTTAAAATGCCTACTCCTCCTAAATTGAAGTCTGATAATTAATCATAACTAATTAGGTTTTGAATTGTATTTTCCTCTCATAGTTTGAGAATTATTAATTTTTAATCCCTTTTTTATCCATGAATTAATGTTTGCAACAGAGTATTTGTTTGTGTTTCAACATTACATTACCCCCTAAAAAAAAGAAAATTACATTATTATAAGAAATTAGTAAAATAGGGTCAAGTACATGGTGTTGCCTTGTTATGTGATGAACAAAACCTTTCGAAATTATTTTCTTATAAAAATTAATACAAAAAAACAAATAGTGTTATATTAAAATCTCAATCACTCAAGACGCTGAATGGAGTAGTATTAAAAACCTTTTAGCATTCTAAAATCTCTAGATCGTGAACAAGATAATAATGAATTAGAAGAAGGAATCTCAAATTAATTCAAATAAAGAAAATTAGAATAAAAATATAAATATGGATACATATATTGTTCGAAATTAATTTATTTAATGGAGAATAGATAAGAAGTTATCATGATTATAGAAAGAAAAACTTTGTAAATAAAAATATGCATATTTGTTAAAATAATGACACAAATATAATGATTATTTTTATCGGTAAGAAAAATTACAATAATTATAAATTTAGAATTGTCTATATTATTTTTATATATATCTTTGGAGATGATCTTGTTCAAAGTAGGGGTGAGAATGACTCAACCATGTCCACTAATTTAGTCTAGCTCGAAGTTGATTTGGACGAGTTTGGATTTTAAATTTGAACCCCGGTGTAATTTTAGGACGGGTTCGAGTTACTTTTTTGGTCATCCAATCCGGTTTAATATATAATATGTTGAGCTTAGAGGAGCTTGAAGCTTAAAGAATTTTTGATGATCACAAGATGTGTGTCAAGGGCAACTACAAACAACAACAACTTAAACAACTTAGAAACACAACAATAAAGTCAAAGAAAATGTCAAAGAAAATGCTATGTAATAGTGATTAGTGTATAAATTGTCTTGAATGATTTAGTTTACAGTACCCAAACCCTCGTGAGGGATGAAAATCCCTTTCCTCATGCTCTCGTCAACAATCATTGTGCTACTTAGGAAGCCAACGGACAACAGTATCTTTTCTCGCACTCTCCCCGACGATTATCGTGCTACCCAAGATCAATCACATCATTCTCCTTGTGCTCTCCTTGATAGATGGTGAAACTCAATCAAAGGAAAACTTAGGTTTTGCTGGTGAATCCCTATGTTTCAATTGTTGTTTTTCAACGTGAGTCACTAAGGCCCATTTTCTCTTCTCCTACCAAATCCTATCTCTGTTTTCAAACCAAAAATCATATTATAGAATTTTTTGTATTTGCAACTATTCTACCAACATTACAAAAAAATTGCATTTAGCGACCACCAAAATCGGTCGCTAAATTGTTAAAATCGGTCGCTATTTACCTTAACGACCGAATTTAAGTAGTCACAAAAAACTTAGTCACAAAGTTATATAGTAATTGAAAAATTTTTGATCTCTATTTAGCGACTAAAAATTTTGGTTTAGCGACCGAAAATTTTGGTCGCAAAATGGTTGCAATGATTTTGGTCGCTGATGTGTATGGGGACCAAATTAGTGATCGAATAAATCGGTCGCTAAATCGGTTGCTAAAGATTTATTTTTTATTTTATTAAATTTTATAGACGTCGCAAATTCGATCGCTACGAAACACTCATATTTGGCCTCTCAAGGATTCTATTTCACAATACTTCACTTTTCAGCTTGTTTTGTCCTTAATTACACAATTTTTGAAAACTACCCAGAAGGTCACCCATCCCTATATTACTCCAAGTCAAGCATGTTTAACTGTGGAGTTCTGATGAGATAAGCTACCAAAAAGCAGATGCATGTTGTTAGTATAGGTGGCACAAATTAATTCATTTAAGTCATCCTCAACTATACAATATCAACTTATACTATCTTTGGATCTTTCTCATTTCGATGTGTCCAGACCGTTATAATATATAATAATATGTATAATTAATAATTATATTACTAATAATAATTATATTATATTTAATTAATCTTTATATATATATAATTATTTTTATAATTAAAAATCTATTTATTTCTATTTAAAATTAATATTATGATAAAATTTAAATTATCTATTAAAAATTTAAAAGTTTAAATAATAATTTTTATATTTTAAAATGAGAAGGGTTATAATAACACTGGTATAACTTTTACTAAGTATTACACTGTTCAATAACTTTATATTAAATGTGAATTTTGTAAATCCAACCGTTAGATTGAAAGTTCATATCACTTTATATGTTTATATCAAGTTTTGTTAAAATTGAACAACAACTTGAAGGTAATCAAAGTGCTCATATTTTAATATATTATGAAATGTATATATTACGTCAATTTTATTTTACAAGAATGAAGTATCAAATCATCTTGAATTCATATAAAATTTTGTATATATGATCTGAGAGAAAAAAACTTTCAATCTAACGATTGAATTTATAAAATTCACATTTAATATAAATTTATTGAGTGTGTATATACTTAGTAAAAGTTATACCTGTGTTCTTATAACACTTCTCTTTTAAAATATTATTTTTATAAATTAAATTTTAACATTTTAAATAAATTATTAATTAACTTAATATATTTATTCATCTTAAATCTAAGATATAAAATTCAAAAAATGTATTTATCCTTGTTTTATTTTTTAATTATCAACCATTAATAAAATACTAATTTAAAATCTTAT